CAGGCGGGTCTTGAACTCGCAGGCTCAGGCAATCCACTCACCTCAGCCTCCCAAAGGTGCGGGATTACAGGCTGAGCCACCGAGCCCGGCTCCTTGGCATTTCATAGATTTCTCTATTAAAGCATTTAATGTGTTTGTCTCTTTTTCAATATCTTGACTCTCCAAGGCCAGTACCAAGTCTTATTCACCTTTACAGTCTCTTGGACTGTCTAACACAATGTTTGGCATACTGTCAGGAGCCCATAAATATTAGTTGCAAGAAAGTGGGGGTAGGCAGGGAAGGAGGGGAGAGAGAGGCAGTGTGTGTGGGGGGGAGCAATGAGTGGGTAGACCCAGCCTGGAGGCTGCAGGGTGTGCTGCCAAGCTCTGGGAAGTTTTGAGGGGGCTGTGGGGAAGTCAGGGGACATTGGGCAGGCATCGTAGGTGCCCTTGGTGGGGGCCTGGCAAAGTCTCTGCCAAAGCAAAGTCAGCCTTAATGAAAGAGTGTAGACAGCTCTGGATGGTAATCAGGAATCTTGGAATCTAGGGCAAGCTGGAGAAAGAGAGGTTGGGGCTCAGTGCCCTGGAGAGGGCAGGGTGGAGGGAGGAGAGAAAAGCCAGCTGCTGGGAGATTCCAGGGACAAAAGATCAGGATGTTGCCACTTAGAAAAACTACCTTGGTGGGTGCCCAGGTGTATCCGGGTTCTTTAACCTCCCTCCCCGCTGGCCCATACTCCGCGGGCCTCCACAGGACGACATCTTTTCATTATTCAGGCCTTTGCTCAAGTGACTTCTCTGACCACTCAGCTAGTGTTGTCCCTCTCTACCCCCCCTATTAAATTACAGGATTTTATTCTCTTTATTGCTCTAACCACTATCTGAAATGGCCCTGTGTATGTATTTGTTTTCTAGTTTGTGAACTGTTTGCTCCCCCTCCACTATATTATGAACCCCATAAGAGCAGGGATTGTGTCTGTCCTTTTACCAATGCATCCTCTGTGTCTAGAATAGTGCCTGGTACACAGCAGGTGCTCAGGTGGCATAGATTAACCTTGAACATTGTCCCGGGGCCAGGGTTAAATTTAGATGTCCTAGTACTCGGTGGCTCAGCCTGCAATCCAGCACTTTTGGAGGCCAAAGTGAATGGATTGCCTGAGACTGTGGGTTCGAGACCTGCCTGGGCAACTTGGCGAGACCTCATCTCTACAATAAATAAAAAATTAGCCGGGCAAGGTAGCATGCGCCTGTAGTTCCAGCTACTTGGAAGGCTGAGGCAGAAGGATCGCCAGAGCCCAGCAGGTCAA